AATGCAGGTGGGCGGGGTCTAAGGCGAGGCTTCGCAGCTCCGGGGCGGGGCAGTTGGGTCTTGGGGCTGAGCTGAGGGCGGGGCGGGGCTTCTAGCTCCCTTTGGCTAGTTTGGCCTCTTGCTGCAGGAGTGCCCCTGCCTTGGCCTCCGGCTGCGGGCTCTGGCTCTGCTGACGGCCTGTGCACAATCTACGAGGCTGAAAGGCCCGAGTCGGAGACCTCCGCCCAAGGAGCGCTGGATCCCGGGCCCGGGCCTGGCGCTGGTGGTGGGAAGGCAGCAGCCGTGCCGGGGGCGGGGGCGGCCTCGCGCGGCGTGAAGCCAGCGCGCCTGGGCGAGCTGCCTCTGGGGGCTCTGCAGGCCAGCGTCGTGCAGCACCTGCTGAGCCGGACGCTGCTGTTAGCGGCGACCGAAGGTGCCACTGGAGACAGCGGCGGTGGCCCGGGGAGCGCTGGGGGTGGTGGCGGCGCGGGGGGCGCCCGTACTGCGCTCAGAGATGCTGAACTGGGTCGTTGGGCCGAACTCTTGTCTCCCCTGGACGAGTCTCGCGCCAGCATCACCTCAGTCACCAGCTTCTCCCCGGACGACATGGCATCCCCGCAGGGTGACTGGACCGTTGTGGAGGTGGAGACCTTCCACTGAGCCAGACTCTAGCTCCTCCCACCACTGCCCACCCCTGCCTTAGTATCCGCCCCTCCGGTTACGCCTCTTTGTCTTAGACCCCGGTCCCCTCCTTCTGGAGTCCAGATCTCTGTGGGATTGGTATCAGTCACTCTAGAGCCCTAGAATTTTGGCCCAGGTTCGTGACCCACCCACGCCTTTGGCCAAGGTCCTCCCCTGGAACTTCGCCCCTTTGGCCTAGGACACGCTTCCGCTTCCCTTGAACCCCTCTTCCCTCGAGCCCCGCTTCCTTCCTCAGCCTAGGTCCCATCCCGTGTCCAGTGTATTGTCCGCCGCACGCAGCCCGAATTTGCAATAAAGCCGGGACACTGCAACCTGTGAGCCTTTGCTGTCGCCGCGGGGGCCGAGGCTGCGGTGGGACCAAGCAATGCTGAGAGCGGTCTAGCGCGGCACATCCACCCACCCGCGTGAATGTAGGTTTTTTCCTGTCCGCCTTCTGGTGTAAACTTTAGGCGCAGGAGAGTCCCAGGTGGGGCTGCGCCACCAAGTGGGTGAGCTAGTTCGTGCAAGCTCTTCCCACATTGGGTCAGGGGAGCCAGCGCTCCTGGGGAGAGGGGGAAGACACGTGGGAGGGGCTCGCTGGGGGTCGGAGTGAGGGCTCCTCCTCCCAGTGTGCACCCCCTTACCTTGAATGCCCTGGTGTGCTGGAGGGAGAGAGGGGTCGCCTGAGACCATTGGTCTCTCTGTTCCCTCTGGGGCCTCCCTACCCAGGGCTCACTGCCCTCTGCTTACCCAGGAGGCTGCAGTGCAGGAAAGGCCTGCGTTTGGGCAGGGGCCTCCTCAGGACCTGGTATAGAGAGTAGGACCCTCCCGGGTCAGGATTGGGAGGGACCTGTAGGGGAAGGAACAGCCTCTCCCAAGGCTGGGTGGGAGATCAGGGTGTCTTCACATTGCCCCATCCTCTCCAGGTGTCTTCACCATGCCTCTTTATGGCTGGCTCCCAACTCATGTACCTCACCTTTCCTTCCAATTTAGGGTATTCTCCCCAAACCAGGGATCCTCACCAGAGCCAACCAATATCTTCATTTCTCTCCCGTTCATAATTCCTTGCCCTTCCTCCCATGGCCCCACCACCTTCACCCTGGACTTCTCAAGCCCCAGCCCAGGCCCTTCTTCCCAAGTGCTCCTTCAGGAAACACTCCTAGGCCTTTCCTCCCTAAGGGTCTTCTGCTTCACACCAAGAATGATGGAGGCCCGGAAAGGACCACAATCCCCAGGGCAGGTAAAAGGACAGAGCTGGACTCCGTGTTGGGTCCTCAGCCCTTTTTCTGCCCCTAAACTCAGTCCATCCTGTAGCCAGGTTCCTGTCAGACACAGATCACCCAGTTCTGCCTGTCCCCATCCCAGATGTGGTGGCCTCCCAACCTAGGGTCCTAGGAGAAATTGGCCCTATCTCAGTGGGACACTACCACCTCCGTCCTTGGGAGTAAATGTGTTGCTTATGGGGACACACAGCATGCTCCCTTACTCAAGGTGAAGTTCGGTGGCAAACCAGAGGTTCTCTTTTTAGCGGAGACAAGCCCAAAGGTAGGTGCTGGCTCCTCACCTATTGGGCATTCAGGACCTCAGAGCCAGCTCCAAAAGGGATCAGGGCAGAACCTCAGACAGTTCCCCCTGGGGCCCTACCCTATCCTGGGAAGCCAGTGGAGTGAAATTACCCTGTGAAAGCAGGAGACAGAGGAACTGTTGAGGGTCTTAGTGTTAATTCTGTATGATGAGAATGGTGCATGGGCCCCCAGGAGCTGTTGAGTGATGGGACGGTATGTGGAACTTGGCTGTCCTGGTGCATAACTAGCATCCCTGCTTTACTGCTGGTCAGTCCCCATTCACTATTCTCAATGCCCAGCTCAGTTTGGTCTTTGCCCAGGCCTCCTCACTGATCTCCAACACTGTGGTCCATCTAGTGATGCTCCCCTCACCTAAGCTCTCCATGGCTCCCCAGTGCCCTTGGTTCAAAGAGCAAACTTTGGCTTCTGACTAGAGAAATCCCTTCCTGTTCTGGCCATTCCCACTCTTGCCTGTTCCTTCTATCATGTGCTTCCTGCTGGTTCCTGTCATGTCTTGCCTTTAAGTTTTTGCCCTTGTAGCTGGCTGCAGCACCCGTCCCTCAGGAAGCCTTCCCTGGCTCCTTCACCTACTGAGTACTTGTCACATCAGCATGCTCAGCTCTCGCACCCCACACCAGTGTCTGTCACCTCCACTACCCTGGGAATCCCTTATAGTCAGGCACAGGCAGAGCACCTGGAGGGCCTCAGGAAGTATGTGCTTAATGAACACAACCAGATCCCTAGTCCCCAAATTGCTCTCCATCTCTCAGGGGAGGCCCAAGCTGAGTGAGCCAGGAGGGAAATCATGCCCCTTGTCCTCACCATCTCCAGAGCCACCCTTGTGAAAATGCCAGGCTATCAGGGTCCATGTGTGAGCCTAACATCCAAGGTTCTCTGTGACCTGTTCCCCCCATACTAACCACCTGTCCCAAACCTCACACTTTTGTTCACAGTGAACCAGCAAATGCTCCCCCCCCCCC